CCAGAGCTTTGGCCTGATAGAATAAAATGTTTGAAGGCACAGCAGAAGCACCAGCTTGGAAAAACATCTTGCAAGAATAGAGTACCATCCTCTAGGATTCTATATCTATATATCTATCTATATCTATCTATATCTATATATCTATATATATCTATATATATCTATATATATCTATATATCTATATATCTATATATCTATATATCTATATCTATCTATCTATCTATCTATCTATCATCTATCTATATATATCTCAAATCAATGATTACATGATGCTGTATCCCCAGTAGGTAAATTCATGGATCTAAGTATCAAGAGATGGAAGTAGGGTCACCCCATTTACCATCACTCCCAGCAACCTAGTTGGGGAAATTTTTGTTTCCTGTCCCCCACAACTCAGTGCTCAGGATTTTTTGGAAGCCCTGATTCTTTGAGGAAAAATATTCCATTAAATTGGGGATTCTTGTTGACATTGAATAGGCAACAATGATCATTGGTTGGCAATCACAATATCATAGTCTCATGACCAGTTGCAGCAATTTGGGGGAGGGAGGAGTAGTTCACCCCACTAATGTTCCTTTTGCAAATTTCCTGAGAACAGGGGTCTGATTAGATTCTGGAGAAGTGTCCTGGATGTATTAGATAAACAAGTGAATCTGAACCGCCCAATGGGCGGGTCCCGGTTCCCTGGTGTGCTATTTATCTTATTTCTTCCCAGGACTGGAGTGCTCCTTTCACTCAGGCGGCCTAAAGCTCTCAGCTGTGTGAGACCTGCCCTTGGCGGAGGAGAGTGCCTTGCCCAGAGTTCTGCCCTCCCCGAGAGCAGCCCGCATCCGTGACTGGTTTAGATGGGAGTGCAAAACGTCTGGGCCCTCACCCCAATTTGGGTTGTCCCAGCTCTAAAGCTCCCTGTGGGACTAGCTGAAACCTGCATCGTGACCGTGTTCCATACATATTCTCTCTAGGTCCCGTCCTGCTTTCCACACTGTCCAGCACACTTTGAATGACAATTTTCATCTAAGAGTTTGCTTCCCATTTGGTGCCATCTCTGCTTCCTAGTTGGGATCAGGGTGCCATCAGAAGGCTTAAATATCTCCACTGCCCTGTGCCCACAATTAGGAATTTCTTGAAAGAGAAAAGAGAGAGCTTGGCATAGGGCAGCGGTTGGCAAACCGCGGCTCACGAGCCACATGCGGCTCTTTGGCCGTGCATGTACAGTGTAATTGAAACTCTGTGGCCCATGCCCAGAAGTCGGTTTTTGGCCCGTCCAAGTCTATTTTGAAGAAGAACCGCATGTGGCTTGTGAGCTGTGGTTGCCGACTACTGGCAAAGGGGATGTGAGCAAATTCTCTTCAGTCTTTCACAAGTGAAAGGCATTTCTCCTCCTCTTCTCTCCCTTCTTAATCCTCTCTTCAAGATTTTCTGGCTGTTCCCAGGGAGGTGTCCTATGGCCACCCCGTGGATGTTGCCTGCCTCCTGGACATGCTAACATTTGGAGGTGCATCCCTACTTGGCATTTGGGGCTGAAGTCTGCTAAGCTGCAGGAGAGACAGGGACCCCTGTTGTACGGGAGTGGGGTGCAGTGATTGTTCTGAGCGGGAGCCGTTCTGTGGTAGCCACTAGAAGCTCTCTGATGGCTCCTGGGGTCCATGCTTCCACTGGAGGCTCTCAGGGAGAAGCTTCCCAGAAAGGCTCTTTTGAGATGTAGTTGGTGTGCAATCACCTTGGCCTCTGTCTGACTTGGGAGTGTGAATGCAGAACCTTCACCCAGCCTTACCTGCGCCAATGGATGAAGATAGTATATTAAAAAAATAATCCTCGCCGAAACCGGTTTGGCTCAGTGGATAGAGCATCGGCCTGCGGACTGAAAGGTCCCAGGTTCAATTCCCGTCAGGGGCATGTACCTTGGTTGCGGGCACATCCCCAGTAGGGGGTGTGCAAGAGGCAGCTGATTGATGTTTCTCTATCATCGATGTTTCTAACTCTCTATCCCTCTTTCTTCCTCTCTGTAAAAAATCAATAATAATAATAGAAAATCCTCACCCAAGGATATGTGTTTTTTAAAAAAAAAATATATTTTAGAGAGACAGAAACATCACTTGGTTGGCTTCCATATATTCCTCAACTGGGAATTGAACTCAATGTCTGGATATGTACCTTGACCAGGACTTGAACCCTTTGGAGGTGCTCAGGATGATGCTCCAACCAACCGAGCCACACCGGCCAGAGCAAGATAATAATGTTTTCTAAAAGAAAGTATGCTTAGTTCAGGAAATCATTTGGGGGTCATGTGTTAAATTCCTTCCTTTCTTCCCTAAAACGTGATTATCCTCATATTATGGATGGGACAATCAAGGCCCAAATTAACATAGTGAGAGAGACCTGATTTAGGGATAAAACAGACGCCCCTTGCCTGCCAGGTCAGTGCCTCCCTTACATTGCCTGTGCCAAGGTCATCCCAAATTGTGGGCCAATGGGACTTTGGTGTGAATGGTGTTCCCGGAGCTACACGATCCAGTGATCCTGCTGGACATAATGTGACACAGTGGGCAAATGACCCTCCATACTGGCAGCCTTACACCACGTGGAATTCTACCAGCAGGGCACCTATGATTTTTTTTTTTTTTTTTGCCTTGTGGACATAGTTGGTCTCTGTGCCCAGGCATAGGGGGCCGCATGACTGACAGCCTATGAACGGTGTGGCTCGGTTGGTTGGAGCATCATCCTGAGGCTGAGTTCATAGGCTGCAGAGGAATCCTGATTTGAGTTGCTTACAGGAAGTGGAGGTCTTGTCCACGTGGTTAGAAGCTCTTGAGCTTGAGGAGGGGAAGAATGAGGAAGGGAAGTGCATTGTCTGGGTCTCAGCAGCATTATGGAGTTACAGAGGTTTCTGTGTCACCGGTCCTGCATCTCCAGTCACAACATCCGGCATTTCCCTTTTACCTAGTTCCATTCTTCTCACAATTGCTTCTCCCCTCCCATCTCCCATGCCCTGATTCTGTTGTCCGTCACCTCTTGCCTATACATTGCAATACCATGCTAATTGCTCTTCCCTTCCCCTTCCCATCTGGCCCTTCGCCACATGGTTATGACTCCTGAAGACCCTCTATCATGTCACTCTACTATCCTGCCAAATCCAATCTTGAAATGCCTATTGGTACTCAGGTGGCCAGATGCTCAGGTTTGCCTGGGACTGTGTTCATTTACTAGTACCATGTTTCCCCAAAAATAAGACCCAGCGCATGGAAAGATAAGACATCCACTGAAAATAAGACCTAGTGCAACTTTGGGAGAAAAAATTAATATAAGACACTGTCTAATTTTCAGGTAAACAGGGTATATCTGTTGTCCCAGCATAATTACTAATGGTGCCTCCTTTTATTCTTAAAAGTCCTAATTTGGGTGGTAAAAATGATATGTTCCTCCTACTCATTACTCTCTAAATGGAGCTCAAACTCCCACCTTTACAGACTGGCCTCAACTTTTCTTCCCAAATTTTCCCACCATTTCACTCAGACCCTAACCCTGCCACCTTTCCAATGGGCTTCCACCCAGCTTGAAAAACACACATTGATAGCCCAGGCTGGTGTGCGTCAGTGGTTAGAGTATCCCCTTATGCACCAAGGGGCTGCAGGTTTGATTCCCTGACAAGGGCATGTACCTTGGTTCCATCCCCAGCCCTGTTTGGGGCACCGGGGGAGCAACCAATTGATGTGTCTCTCTCACATTGATATTTTTCTCCTTTCCTCCCTTCCACTCTCTCTCTCTTAAAAAAAAAAAAAAAGCAATGGAAAAATATCCTTGGGTTTGGGTGAGGATTAACAACAACAAAAATAAAATAAAACACTGTGATCATTGTTCATTCATCAAGACCTAGTTTAAGTTCCAGGCTTATGCTTCTTTCAGTGCCTGCAAAGCCTTAGTCTGGCTGACCCCCTTGTCAAGGGGTCACCTCGTCTTCCTGTAATTTGCCTGTGTATTCTGGGCGGGAGGACACTCAGAGGAGCAAGTCAGGCACGGGGAGGGTATTACAGGCTGCTGCAATGGGTCACGGTAGAGACTTTGGGCAAGCGTGAGGTTGGCCAGGAAAAAAGCGGTGGGGAGGGTCCTGCTGAGGTCTGGGAAGCCACTCTTGGGGACCGGAGTCAGAGGAGTACAGAAGGTTTGTCCGGTCCTGTCAGTTTTATCCTAAATCCCGTTGAAAGCCAGCCAAGCTGAAGGGTCATTTCTCAGAAACACAGTTCCCACCCCCATAACTATACGTGTCACCCCTACCTTTCTACTTCCCAGCTCAATGCGGATTTCCCACAATAATACAACTGCTGACTGTAACACAAAATACAGGTTTCTGTATTCCTAAAATAATATTTATTTCTAGTTAACAATATGAGTCACACCTCTTCTTAAAAATACATAACATGTTCATATCTTTGCCAGGACCTTTACAAGTTTTGAGGGAGGGAGGAGAATAAGAACATAGCACTTTGGGCTGGGGGACTGGATTGGGGATCACAGAGGAGAATGGACCTGACCAAAGCTTTACATGTTAAAAACAAACAGTATTCACGGCAGGTAAGTTTAAAAACATCAGTAGCCTGGCAGTGTGGCTCAGTGGTTGAGAACTGACCTATGAACCAGGAGGTCACGGTTTGATTCCTGGTCAAGGCATGTGCCCGTTTTGGGCTTGATCCCTAGTGTGGGGCATGCAGCAGGCTCTCTTTCATCCTTAATGTTTCTATCTCTCTCTTCTTCTCCCTTCCTCTCTGAAATCAACTAAAAGTATATTAAAAACATCAATAATTTAAATACAATAATTTGTTAATTATTAAATAAAAGCCATTCCTTTGGGGGGATGATGAGATTATCTCAGATCGCTTCTTAGGAAGATGGGGGCAGGAGGTGGTAGGGGGACAATGACAAGGGAGTGAGGGATGGGGTGTGGAGGGGGGAAGATGAATCAAGCATTTCTCAGGCTCTGGTTTGGTCTCAAAACAGTCAATATTTATGGGTTTGGAGTTTGGGATTTTCTGTCCAGGTACTTCATGGCATCCTGGACCCACTTAGTCTTGGGGTCAGCACAGATCTCCTTGTTCAGTTTGGTCTTGAAACTGTGGGAGAGAGGGAAAGCGATTAGAAAAATCCACTTTGAAAATTGTGTCCATTTAACCCCCACATTTCCAGGACCATCTGCTATGGGGTGGAGGGGCTGCTGTGCAGGAAGGGGACAGAGGAAGGATGGGGCTCTAGGGTTTCCTGTTGCTCTTGATGGCCCAGGTAAGACACCCTTGCTCTTTACTGGAAGGAACTGGTATGACCTGGACAAGCTTGCAGACAGAGCTAAGTGTGAAAATGCCCTGAAGTGAAAAATCTATAAATTGGATGAGAGAGTCCAACTCGGAGTCTATGATTCCAAGTAACTCAGAAGCAGTTCCTGACCTCTGCCCCCTAGAAATGAACGTTTGAGTGGGTAGAGAGCGGGTGAGCTCTGCCTACTTACATCACAGCTTTCTGGCGACATCTGCTGTCGGAGACTCTTGTGTAATTTTGCAGTTTCTGATTTGGGATCTTCTTGCTGGCCATATCGAAGCAGCAGACAGTTGGGACGTTACCTGAATTTGTGGGAGAAATGAGAGAAAGGATGAACTACTAATACTATGTCGCTGTTTTTATATATTTTTATTGACTTCAGAGAGGAAGGGAGAGAGAGATAGAAACATCAATGATGAGAGAGAATCATTGATGGGCTGCCTCCTGCACGCCCCTAATTGGGATCGAGCCTAGAACCCGAGCATGTAACTTTGACTGGAATCGAACCCAGGACCCTTCAGTCCACAGGCCCACACATGCTCTATCTGCTGAGCCAAACCGGCTAGGGCTGTAACTCTGTTAAAGCATGCCCTTGGGAGGGAGGAAGGCAATTTAGGAGAAAGCAAGAAAATACAAGAGAAGAAAGTAGAGTTCATCTGCTCCTGAGGTCCTATACTTCGGCCTGTGATTTGTGATCGCCTGCTGAAAGTGAGGTCCTGTCACCACTGGCAACGTGTAGAAGAAGCCTGGTCAGTGCAGTGCGCTCTAGTTGTGTCGTTACAGGGCTATGGAGCTGTGTGCCAATCATAGGACTGTTCACCAAATGTCCCCATTCTCTGCTTTCTGGATGCATGGTACACTTGCATTTCTTGGCCACTTTTGGTTGGTTGGAGCCAGTAACTAGTTTGGACCCGTGAGTGAGAAGCCAAAGTGATAAGTGCCATTTCTGAGCTGGAGTTAGTAGTTTCCAGTGCAAGAACCCCAAGAGCTAGCTTCCCCTTTGTCACGGGAAGGAGCAAGGCTCTCTAAGGTGGCTGCTCATCAGCCTAGGATCCTGAGCGTATGAAGCAGGAGGACTAGTCCATACACCATAGACATTCTGCACGAGTAAGAAATTAACCTTTCTAGTTTCAAGTCACTGGTCCTTAGGGTTGTTTGTTACCACAGCATGCACGATCTTATTTGTATGAATAACATGCGGTACATCTAAGTCATCAGAGCATAAAGAATGAGCTGATATAAACTCCTAAATTCCCCTCCCCCCCAACAGACTCAAAATAAGTCACCTCAAGAGATTCCCCTGGAACCTCACATCCTTCCTCTGTTCCACCATTTCTTTACTTTTCTTTTTCTTTTAAAAAAATATATTTTATTGATTTTTTACAGAGAGGAATGGAGAGGGATAGAGAGCTAGAAACGTCAATGAGAAAGAAACATCGATCCCCCTACCGGGGATGTGCCCGCAACCAATGTACATGCCCTTGACCGGAATTGAACCCGGGACCTTTCATTCTGCAGACCGACGCTCTACCACTGAGCCAAACCGGCTTCAGCTATTCCACCATTTCTGAAAGCTGTCCTGGAGTCCTGTGCAAAGTCTGGGCCTCTAATCAAGCAATTATTTTCCTTATAGCCCTGCCCCAGCTGCTCACGGTGCCCACAGTAAGAGAAGGTCTTTCTTTTGTGTGCCCCTTCCCTAAACACTGTAAAGGCAGCCAGATCATAGATATGCTCTGTCTCTCTCAATACCCATGTCAGAAAGGAATGTGGGACTGGCTTGGGTCTCTCTTCCACTGATTGTGAGGTTGGGCACTTCTTAGGTTAGGTTAGGGTTATAGTTAGGGTTAGGGTTCGGGTCAGGTTATCACACCACTCATGGGGCCTGGTGTGATAGTTTAGAAGGTGGTCAGCTATCTGAGGGGGCTTACCTGGCTGAGCGAGCACCTGGGTGGTGAGGGCGGCCACGGTGAGCAGCAGGCACAGGAACACTGCGGAGACCTTCATGCTGGAGAGTGCAGATGCAGCCTCAGGGTGGAAGTTGTCAGTGTTCGTGCTTGCCTCAGCCTCTCGTGGGAGTTGTATCTGTGTGTGCTTGTCTCAGGCTCTCTGCTCCTCGGGCTACTATGCCTGCCTTTTAAAGAGGATAGAGAGAGTGGGAGCTTCCAGGGAAGCCTTTGTTTTTTCAAACTCATGGCCAGGTCATCGAGGGAGGTCCTAAATTGATGACCAAATTCTACTTCCTGGCAAGGACTAAAGATGGGTAAGAGGCGGAAAGAAATTTGGCACATTTTTGTTCATCCTGGGACTCAGCGTGGGGAAGTAAGAGAGCTTGTGCAATGACTGAGCAAGGACGGTAATCTGAGAAGGTCATTCTCACAAGCTCTGCTTTTCCAGAGATAAAACATCTGTAATGTGGAAAGGAGCAAGGGAACCGAAGGCATGGAGAGATGAGGAGGACTGAGAACCTTCCCTGGTCCCTGTGTTCACATGGTCTTCTGGACCTGGGAGGCCAGGTCGGGGCCTCAGACTTCTGCATGGCTCCCATCCAGATGTGGAGAGATCTCAGCAGTTCTGAACATGGCTGGCTGGCTGGGAACCTCACCCCCATTATTCAATATAGTGATCATAGAATCTGAGTGCCCCAGAATTTTAGTGCCATAGGACATCAGAACTGGGGAGCTCTTATTGGCCTGGGATTTTTGGGCATTTCCCCCCAGCTTGTTGAGGAATAATAGACAAATAAAGATTGTATATATTTAAGGGTTATGATGCATTGGTTTGACATGCACATGAAATGATTATCACAATCAAATTAACTCTCATGTCCATCACCTCACATAGTTACCCTCTTTCTCTTTTTTTGGTGGTGAGAGCACTTAAGACCTACTCTCTTGGCAAATTTCAAGTCTATAATATGGTCACCAAGCAGTAGGTTAGGTCCCAAGGACCTAGTCATCTGGAACTGCATCTTCAAAGCCAATGAGCCACGGCCACCAAGGAGCTGAGGTGAAGGACAGTCCTATCCATGTTCACTACTTTATCCTCTGCACTTATTGTAACACTCAAGAGAGAAATGCTTTTTTAAAAAAATAAGGAGTCAATTTCTCTTTAGCAGGCTCTATGTTATGTTTGACAAACATCTCCCCAGAAATACAAAGAGAAGCCACCGCACACCTGTTAGGATGGCTAGTGTCAAATGACAAATGTTGACAAGGCTGCGGAGGAAAGTAGAGAACATGTACATTAATGCAGCCACTATGAAAAAACAGTAGGGAGATTCCTGTGCATTTCTTAACCAGTTCTTTTAGCCCCTAAATTTTATAAATGGAATTCATAGCAAAAGCCTGTTCATCAAATACACTGTAATGGAGTGGTCTGTTTGAAGCTGAATGGGTGGCTCCCTAAACCTGTACACCCCAAGTATTCAAGGAACACGCATGAAAAACCAGAGGCTTAGTTCACCCTCACTCCTGAGCACACAAGGCAGACGAGGTGCTCAATGGCTAAAAATTGCAAAGAGAAAGAGAAGAGAAGAATAAAGAGCATACATTTCCTCAGTGCATAGCATGAGACCCCATAATAGGAGATGGTGCAAGGGGCAGAATCCTTTAATGGAGTCTTTAATGAGGTCCTTACTTAAAGTCTAAACTGTGGTGAATTGAATACTGGCATTGAAGCACTATAAGATCCTCGCCTGGTTTTTCCTGCACGCTGGCATTTCAAATTAATTGATTGGTACAGGTTGCACAGAGAGATGTATTGAGAGAGACTCTGAGGTCTTGCCTAGGGGCAAGATCTAACCCAAGATCTCAGTCTCATCTGAATGCTGATGTCAATTTATGGGCACAGAATTAGGGATTCTTGCTGACCTAGATGACCTTTAGGCTTCCATCCTATCTAATAAAAGGCTAATATGCAAATTGTCCCCTCAATCATGAGTTCAACCAGGAGTTTGACCAGGAATGGGGCCAGCCACCTGCCGGTGGCCCCTCTCTCTGGCCAGCTTCACCCTGAATTGGCGCCCCCATTGGGGGCCTCTTGTCTATAATAATTGATCTCCAATTAGCTGAAAAGGGAGCAAGTAGAGGTCAGAAAACATGGCCCTTCCTTACTCTTTCCTGTCCATGGCCAGGTGAGGTGGTCTAGTATGGATTCTGGAATGAGGCTCCTGAGTTGGAATGATGACTTGGCCACTAACTAGGTTAGTAAGTACCATGGACAACTTACTAACCACTCTCCACTAAGTTAACATGGAGAAACTTTAGAGGTTTGTTGTGTGAATTAAATTAGTTAATTTACTAGTATATTTACATATATGGCACCACGTCCAGAATGGCCAGGGGTGGTTGGGGGAAGGCGGTGCGGGGCGGTGAAGGATTAAAGAAGAAAAAAAAGGGAATACAGTTAAGGCTAGATAAGACACTGTTGTTGGATGGAGAGACAGTGCCACAGCCGGCAAACCGAGTCTTTATTTTATAGTCATATCCCACGAGGCAAAGTAAGGGCATGGTCAAGATGTTTACAATGTTCTTGTGGGTTTGAATCTATTCAATTCTATGCACTTGAGAACGCTGTTAAGCTTTGTTTTGGCCGCACTTGCTGCACCTCCCTCAGCCTATTTCACTCAGTCACCTGGGACCACAGGTTAGAACTATAAGGTCAAGCTTATAATCATAGCCTTTGGCTGTAATTGTGCTAGGAGGGCTTAGCCCTCCAAGCTGAGACCTTCACGTGGTTTTGCCACAAGAGGACAGTGCCCTCTCATTAGTCCGAGGCTTGAACCTGTCCAAATGCTGTAGCCACTCTCCACAGTATATAATGTGCTCAGAAGAGTAACCAGGTTACTGGTAAAATTTCATATTTATTAGGAAATGAGACAAGTTTTGAGGGCCAGGAGATACCAGAAAAGGATTTGGCATTCTGGCCACATTGCTTCCTCCAGATCTCTCCAATATTCCCACTACTCTCAAGTAAAAACATGTTACTTTAGGGTCAGTTCTTAGGATTATGAGTTGCACATGTGGGAGATGTGAAGTCTCAGAAGTGTCAGTATGAGTTTAGGATGCTCTTGGCCTTGGAGGTGTTTGGCCAACATTCATGGGAAATTATGTTCCCTGAGTAGGAATAATTTCGTAACTCTGCTGGGTTGGAGGACTCTATCAGTAAGTAACTTTTCATTTTTTTTTCCAGTTGTCCTCCAAGGGCTTTGGATTAATCTAAATCAGTGGTTCTCACACCACATGACCCCACTCATTTGTGGATAATAAAGATCATTATAAACTGATGAACCAAAAGATAGATATAGAGACAGTAAAGCAACAAGCAGATTGTCAAATTACAGCGGGGAGGGGAGGTAGGTCTGGGGGAGATAATAAATCAACCCAAGGACTTGTATACATGCATATAAGTACAACCAATGGACATAAAACTCTGGGGAGGGAGGGGATATGTGGGAGGGAAGGAAGGGGGCAAAAAAAAAATCAATAAAATATGTAAAAATAAATAAAATAAAATAAAAAATAAAAAATAAATAAATCAGTGGTTCTCAACCTTTCTAATGCCTCACCCCTTTAATACAGTTCCTCATGTGACCCCCAACCATAAAATTATTTTTGTTGCTACTTCATAACTGTAATTTTGCTATTGTTAATGAATCGTAATGTAAATATCTCTTTTCCGATATTAGGCTCTATAGCAGTGGTTCTCTACGACAGTGCTTCTCAACCTATGGGTAGCCTAGATTCTAAATGGTTAAAAATCTGTGGGAATAAACTCAATCTTTAGACATCCAAGTTCAGCAGCTGTCCTGTCCAGCTGCCTGGCTGTCCCTAATATGTATATTATATGGGATGGGAGGCTAGAGGTCATCTAGGCCAGCAAGAATTCCTAATTCTGTGCTCATAAATGGACATGAGCATTCAGATGAGACTGAGACCTTGGGTTAGTTCTCTTACACCAGGCCTCTTTATCTCTCTTCCTCAGAATTTTGTAGCTGAAAAAGTTCACATACTTTCTTGTGGCTTTCCCCAGTAACACAGGTCTTTGGATGGGCTTCAAGAGGGAAATAATTAGCCATTTGACCTTTCTCTCTTGCTGGCCAGAGTTTCTTTATCTCTTCTCCATGGCCAGGGTTTCAGTGCAGAAGCTTCCTATTCTCCCCACTTGGGGCAAATGACAAAGCTGGGGCTGGGAGAACTAGCCTTGCACACAGGTGCTTTGCTGAACCCAGGAACTGGAATCAATGTACCTGCCAATTTTAAAAAAATATATTTTATTGATTTTTTACAGAGAGGAAGAGAGAGGAATAGAGAGTTAGAAACATCAATGAGAGAGAATCATCGATCAGCTGCCTCCTGCACACCTCCTACTGGGGATGTGCCTGCAACCATGGCACATGCCCTTGACTGGAATCAAACCCGGGACCTTTCAGTCCCCAGACCGATGCTCTACCACTGAGCCAAACCGGTTTTGGCTGTACCTGCCAATTTTTAACTCTCTATGAATCCTCGGAGAACCACAACTCAACTAGTTCCCTCATCATTGCCCTCTTGCAGATGCATCCTCATTGCATAAAAGTGCTGGTACTAGGAGTAGAGGAATGACAGGTATCTACTGAACACTTCACATATTAATTCATGAAAAAATTTAGAACTTATCATTGGACAGATTCTGGTTCTACATGAACTAATGAAATAGGCATGCTTCCCACCCTAGTGAAGATCCACTCCTTTTCTTGGTCTGGTGCCTAGGAAATGTGGGACCTGAGTCATGAATGACTGTAAGTGATGGTCAGGAAGTAGGTCCTTCTCTGTGAGAGAAAAATCTTATCTTCCTAAGTGCTTTCTAAGGAATGGTGATTGAGTAGAAGATTAAGGTCCTGGGAAGGAGGATTCCTGCTTTGTTTTGCAGCTCTGCTCCAGATTTCCTCTCACAGTGCAAACTTACACCAGATCAAAGAGATGTTAACACACATGATATTTCAACTCTCTAAAACTTTTAAAAAA